ATGGATGAGCATCCGTCCATTGTTAGCTCGTGTTGATCGCTCGTCTAGAGCAGCGTCTCTTGTGACTAAGGAGACCGACACGAGAGTGGCAGTCCCGGTTGCAGAGGTCACATATGAGCGTTGACGCTGGTCTGTTTGCTGTATGTAAGCCTGGGCATTCTGATATGGGGGACAGGCTGTTGCCCACGCAACTTGTCCCCTCTCCTCTCCGTCGACGGAGCCAAAGGAACAGCAGTGGCAACATAGTGGGTTCCCGCCATTATGCCACTGAACACACCTTTAATTGTGGATGTGTTATAAAAAGATATTTATTCGGATCAAACTTCTTGCGGCGGCTGGTTCTTTTAACTCGTTGCTTTTTATCTGTTCTGCACTTAAAAATTAAAAACGGTTATAAGTGAAACCTAAGGTTTATCAGCTGGTCATTTAACCTATGTATTCGGAAGGTGTCCAGGTGAAAATATCAATACATCTTTAAATGTTCTTATGCTTAATTCAGCATTTATTGATTCTATAAGTCGTGGAAAAGTCTTGTTTAGAGTTAAGACTTGCTTATTAATACTAACATTTCATATGCACAAACACAAATAAGCCATAATGAAATTAATACTCTAAAACTGATGAAAAATAAATCAATTATTTAAGCTTTGTTGTTGTAAAACTGTTCGAATTATGTGAGTATTAATTTATAACTTAAAGAGTTGTATGTATGTGTGTGTGTATATTTTGTTGTGGAGAAGCAAGAGTTTTTCTACTTTGTAATATTGCGGAAGCCCAGATGTCATTTAATTTGCATTTGGTTTCACATTATTTTTCAAACCGAATATTTTAAACTTTTTTACATATAAAATCATCGGTTTGGGTGAAAAAAATACAGTTTTATCTTGATGCATTTTGATTCATTACACAAAATCTAATATGAAAAAAATGTAATGTTTTTCTCTTTTTGTGTGTTTGTGCAACGTTCCAAGAAGTTATTTATTTGTTGTTAAGATGCAGTTATTTTTTTCATATTGTTGAAGACCAATGTGCATATTTTTATTTGATAAAAATTGATGTTTCGTTTTAAAAAAAGTAGATAGTATTGATTTAGAGTGTTTGTTTGTTTTTGAATCTCGCGCAAAGC